GGAGGAGAAGGTTGATGTTGAGCAGGAGGCCTGACTCGACGTGCTCGATGTGGTTCGGTGCCATTTCCACAGTTTTCGGCTTCTGGAGATCGGTTCCGATATTCGGGTCTGTCAGGAATCAATCCAGAATAGCCAGCTGGCTAGGATGTGTCCTGGTAGGGGTCCAGTGATTGATTTCAGCGGATTTGGAGGAGATGGAGGAGGTGGAGGAGGTGGATGAGGACGAGGGGAACGGGGGAGGCGGAGGGAAGGAGGAGGAGGGAAAAGTAGGTAACCTTCTCCTGTCGCTGCTGCCTGTTCCTCCTCGTTTGTTAGTGTATGGGGCCTCCGTGGGGGAATGCAGGGGCAACTGGGAGGATACATGTCATGGCGATGCTTGGGGGCACGTGTTAGAGTATGGCAAATCTGTAGACTTGAAAGAAGACAGCCTGAGGTGATGAGTATGCAGTGTGTACCACTGCAGTGATACTGCCCATGGCAACGGTATTGACACGCCAGATGACTGCCGTCGGGAAGGGCCTCGTGATGTTGACGAGGGCGGGAGGAATGATAATGATGAGACCGTGAGCGCATGATGAATGACAACGTGGTCGGCGATGGGGGGGGGGAGGGCGGAACGAGGGTGAACGTGAAGGGGTTACGCTTGCAGACGCGGGGGGCTTCGAGGCCATCGAGATCATCTCCAGCTCGTCCGTGAAGGGCCATGCAGAGACGTACTTGCCGTCCATGTTGCAGAAGGCCACCCTGCACGGTACCACCGAGTCTATTACAGGGCCAGTGTTGCAGGATAGATACAGAGTAATCACCAAGGCTTGGCTAACAGCAGACGGGCGCCTCAGCCCGCAGAGGATTGGGGTTGCACGGTTTGAGTTGTGATTTCCACGATGTGTCATTTTTTCGTGATGTCAGATCCCAGGGGACTGTATTGCCCAATTCAGGCCTCCGACGAGCTGTCTCCAGGTCTCCTAATTTGCCCCAGAGCAGATAGGGTCGGAGGATCGAGCCGCATCATCGATGTATCGGCGATGCGACACGATCTGGAGTCGGAGTTTATCCGTCGCGACATCGATTGTGCATCGTCGATGTATTGGCGATGTTGCCCGATCCCCCTTAGAAAGTCTCCAGTATTTTTCAACCTGGGCAGTTCTCCTCGATGTCTGCCTTCGGGTTTTCCTCGATGTCTGCCTTCGGGTTCCTTCATCGCGCCCTGGGGCTAGTAAAACACGTGTCGAGGACGAAACAATTGTGTCACCCGCGGGGACGCGAAGATAATAGCGCCTCGCGCGTCGTGGTCTGACCAGAGCGGCTGCCTCTGCCAAGGGTGCGGCGCGCTGGTGCGAGGGCACCACGGCCCTCGCGCGTCGCCCATCGCGGGGCGCCATGCGCGAAGGTAGATGTCTTAGGAAACGTACCGTCCGAGGGGAGAGGGGTCGGGACCTCTGGGGCCGCGCACGTCGAGTCGTCGGGCCTCTGGGGCGGCAGCGCGTGCACCCGCGGCACCCCGAGATCTCCGCGGCAGCGCCGCTGCCCGCCGGAGGGCGACGCTCTGCTTCGGAGCTGGACAGAACCCCCAACAGTGACGCGTCGATCAGTGAATTGTCCGTTTTCGATTCTCGAGAGAGCGCCGTGGCCGTCATGTTCCAGGCTTGCGCCCGCAAGGTTTGGGCCCGAGGTCGTTTTCACTAAAGCACGCTTTGCTAGGGGCTTCCAACAAGGCGGGTACCTTTGGGACGCACTCAACTACGCCCGTGCAAGCCGTGGGAGGGAGGTTCAAGGGCCCATGGGCTGCAGAGCTGTTTCGCCCTCGTCGTGCAAACAAGGAGGCATCGAGCGTTCGTTGCGGAAACATGTGGGACCAGTACGCATAATATTTTACGCCCCCGCGCAAGGGGGAAATAGTTTCTTCATTCTCCTGGGCGCCGAGCTCAAGTGGTCAAGTGCTGGCTGCTGTCGAGGCATATCGAGGACCGACTGGAGGTAGGAACACATCCCATCGACCAGAAGACCACTATGCCAGGACGACGACGACGACGACGACGTCGGCATACGTCGGCCAAAACGACGACGACGATCATGACGGCGGGGGCCGCGACGACGGCTACGACCACGGTCACGACGACAGCGCTGGCGACGACGACATCCGCCGATCTGATTTTTGTTCAATCCGCGGTCCTAAGAAGGCCCCGACCCCTTCCCCAGGCCCCAGAGCTCAAACACGGACCCCAGAGTCCGCGTTTCTTTCTTACAGTCAACCCGCATAGTAAGTATGATCAAGTTTTCCAGGGTTGCCCTTGCACCCTTCCCCTTCGGCCCATCCTTGGCCGCTTCCGCTGGCCGCGCCCCGACCGCCAAGTGTCGGCATGGCCTTCCAAGGTCCTTGCATCCTTACCGTGCCTCCTTGGGGGGAGGAGGAGCAGGAGAAGGAGAAGGAGGAGGAGGAAGAGGAGGACGCGGATGATGAGGAGGAGGAGGAGGAGGAGGAGCGGAAGGGGAAGAGGAGGAGGAGGACGAGGAGGAGGAGAAGGAGGAGGATGAGGTGGAGGAGGAGGAGGAGGAGGAGGAGGAGGAGGAGGAGGAGGAGGAGGAAGAGGAGGAGGATGAGGCGGGAGGATGAGGAGGGGGACTATGAGGAGGGGGAAGAGGAGGGGGAGGAGGAGGAGGAGGAGGAGGAGGAGGGAGGAGGAGGAGAGGAGGAGGAAGGGGGGGGGGAGGGGGAGGGGGAGGAGGAGGAGGATCAGGAGGAGGAGAAGGAGGAGGAAGTGGAAAAAACACGAGGAATCAGACGAACAAGGAAGAGGAGGAATAATAATACGCAGAACGCTAGTAATACAACTACTACTAGCAATAATCTTATCATAATACTCACGGTACTAATCTTACGAGTGATAATGCTATTACTAAGCAAACGCAGTCCGAATGCTACACAGTACAGTAGCATACGCATACTATTAACAATAACAGTAACCAGAAGAGGAAACCGAAGACGAATCATACTATGGAAATGACTCATAGGAAGAGGAGAAGGAGGAGGAGGAGCAGGAAGAGGAGGAGGCGGAGGACGAGGAGGAGGAGGAGGAAGAGAAGGAGAGACGGACGAGGAGGAGGAGGAGGAAGAGAAGGAGAGACGGACGAGGAGGAGGAGGAGGAGGAGTGATACGGGTTGACCGTAAGCCCCATACCACTCTCTCGGCCTCTGGCCGGGGGCGTCGAGGGCAGATGCACCGACGTCGCCAGCAACTGCAACATAGGATCCCCTGGGACCCTGCCGGGGAGGCCACGGCGGCCTCGTCCTGCCTCTTCCCCTCCCTTCGGGACGATTGAAAAGGCTACGGAAACAATCTGTGCAATTTCCAACAGTTCTTGTTCATTCTGAGCAGGGTTCGCTGTCGGCGAGGCCGCGGTCGTTGTCCATCTGAGAGGAGGCCGCCTGCCCAACAGCGGCCGCAGTCGGTTTTTGGCAACGTTTGTTGTTGGGCATCGTACCCATTTTTCCTGTACCCATTTCGGGCGTCCTTGCCGGACTCAGAACCGAGTTGATAGCTTCGAACTTAATTAATCAGCCGAGGGGTGACACACGTGAGAACGCTGCGCGGCCAAACCCCCTTGGCACCACCCCCGCGCCCCAGCGGGGAAGGGAACGAACCCCAGACCCCCCCTGGCACCCCCGCGGACGCGCCGCGGCCAACCCCCCTGGGCACTCCAAGGGGGGTGGGGCGATTATTAAGCGATCCAGAGTAGGCTGACGTGGTGTTTTGATTGCTGTTGGGGGTCGTCCCATTGCTTTCGACTCTGGCCGGCGGTGGCCTTGGGCGACTCCTGGCCTGGCTTTCCACTACTTTTCTCGGCCTCCAGCCGAGGGTGCCCAGGCCAGTGGCAGCCTGTTAGCTACAACTGCAACACCAAGGACCCCAGGAGCCCAACTGAGGGACTGGAGCAACCATGTTTTGAGAGGCGTCTTAGAAGCGCCCCTGCTTCTTGGAAGGCGCGGGCCTTATCTGCAGATGTAGGGCCGGCGCCTTCTAAGAAGCAGCCTCCTTCTAAGACGCCTTCTCCCTCCCCCTACCCCCTTGTACACGCCGCAAACATATCGCTGGAGATCGGGAGATCTGGGGACGGCGGCGGCGGCCACGGCGGCGACGCGCCGTGGCGACCGCGAAGGGCGGCCTATCCGTGGGCCTCGGTCGGGCCTCGGCGGGGCGCGGCGGAGAACTCTGCCAATGTTCTCGCCCGCCACCCGGGGCGCGGGTTGCAAACCGCACCCTCTGTGGCGAGGCGTCCTGGCTTGTCCATAGGCCCACCAGAGAATGTATAAAAACCTTTTGTGGTCTGCACGAACTGTTCTCAGAACATGTCTTGCCAGGATTGTCTGGTTTTATCACGTCGGATTCATGTTCTAAGAACATTCTTGTTTCTGGAGCATTGTGGGGTTCTAAGAACATGTCGTGGTAGGCCTATAGGGCCGCGGGGACGACCGGTCCCAGCTCGACCCAGGGCGCGGGTTGCAAACCGCACCCTCTGCAGACCACACCTCCACGGGTCGCCGACCACAACGGGCACTGTTGTGCCAGGGTGTGTTTCTGTTCTGCGGTCTGCGCCGCTGGGGCTCTCGGAGGGCTCCACACGCTGCCCCCGTCGGGCCTCGTCGGGGCGCGGCGGAGAACTCTGTCGAGGTCCCTTGGCGTCGCTCGGACGTGTGCATTTTTTCTCGGCGAGGGCCATCGAGGAGCATCTTGGGTCATCTCGCGAAACATACACGCGCGAAGCCGAGAAATGCACTGGGAATGGACGTCTGGGAGATGGCGAGGGTCCTCGCTCGCCCCACAGGGTGAGGGTTGCAAACCGCGACCTTCGCACACCGCCCCTCTCGGGGGCATCGACCTCGAATATTTGATACATGGACGGTGCATCGCTGATTTCAGGGTGATGTATCGGCGATGTACAGACGACGCAGGGAGGGCGGTCTGTCTCGACGACGTGTTACCAGCCTCGAACGTATCCCTATCCCTAAGATTGACACGCCAAAAGGCGATGATAATCTTAGGGATTCGCCCTCAAAAAATAAGGGGATCCCTAAGATTGGCATCGTGATGAGGAGGTGCCCAGCATAGGGATAGGGATATGTTCCAGGCTGGTAAACGTGTCGACGATGCATGGGCGATGTCGGGGAGGGCCTCCCCTCACAACCGCTAATGGAATGCTCTGCTGCTCGTCTCATCCCACTACTGGCCCACACATTCCCCACGATTGGCCCGCTGATGTCTCACTAATGGCCCCGCTAATGGCCCACTTAATGAACGTTGCCCACGAATGGCCCGCTCATGAGTTTGACCCACTAATGATCCACACATGGCCCACGAATGATTAGCTAATGACTTTTGCCGCACTATTGGCCCACTGATGACCTTCGACTGGCCCGCTTCTCATCCTTCTTTCGTGCTGTCGCGATTGCAGAAACCCTTCGTGCCGAATCGGGCGGCCATCAGCGTGCCGCTGGCCGGGTCCGACGGTATCGTGAGGCAGGGCCTTCCATGGGCGATGCATCGGCCAGTCGAGGTCGATGCCCCCCGGCATCGCGCTCGGGGCGTGTGCATTCTTTGTTTCTCGGCGAGGGCGGTCGAGAATCTCCTCCTCCTCCTCCTCCTCCTCCGCCTCCTCCTCCTCCTCCTCCTCCTCATCCTCCCCCTCCTCCTCCTCCTCCTCCTCCGCCTCCTCCTCCTCCTCCTCCTCCTCCTCCTCTTCGTCCTCCTCTTCCTCCTCCTCCTCCTCCTCCTCCTCCTCCTCCTCCCTCTCCTCCTCCTCCTCCTCCTCCTCCCCCCCACGCCCATCTCCCTCCTCGCCCCGACGCCCCTGCCGCCCCCCCCCAGGGGATGGACCCCTCCGGGGATGGAGGCACGCCTGCTCCTCCGACGCCGCCTCGGAGGCGGCGTCGGCGGAGCCCAAGGGCTGCGCCGGCGGGCCCCCACGGCTGAGCTGCAGGCCCTCTTCGGAGCCTGCGGCGGACCCCGACTCTACGACTCCACGGTGGTTGCCAGGCGTCTCTCGGCCTCGCCTGGAGCAGCGAGCGGCTGGCCCCTCCTCGAGAGGCTCTGGGTCAAGGAAGCAGCTGCGCGACAGCAGGCGGGTCCCAGCTCGTCTGGTTGTGGCGCTGTGCACTTTCCCTTCGGGTCCTTCGCAGCCCCCGCCTTGGGGATGGGGCTGCTGGGGCTGGGACACCGTGACCCAGTGGGGAAGGGCATCGGTCAGACGATGCTGAGTGGCTGTCAGCTGGAGGAGGGAGGAAGCCTCCTCCTCCTCCTCGTCCTCGTCCTCGTCCTCGTCCTTCTCCTCCTTCTTCTCTTCCTCCTCCTCCTCCTCCTCGTCCTCCTCCTCCTCCTCCTCCTCTTCCTCTTCCCCTTCCTCCTCGCTACTCCATCCCCCCCGCAGCCCCTCGGAGTCGCCCGCAGCCGCCTCCTCGCGGGGCGGGTCGCGAAAGGCGCGGGGGCACTCCTTCGCGGCTCTGCGGGCCGACGCCACCTCGCAGCAGCTGCAGGACAAGGCCCGCCCCTGCGGCGGGCGTCGGCTCGCGTCGCTGTCGGTGGTGGTGGTGGTGGTGGTGGTCGTCGTCGCCGTCCGTCGTCCGTCGTCGTCGTCGTTTCCGTCGTCGTCGTCGTTTCCGTTTTCGGCGTAGTCATCGTCGTCGTCGTCGTCGTCGTCGTCGTCGTTGTTTGTCGTCGTCGTCGTCGTCGTCGTCGTCGTCAACGTCGTCGTCCTCGTCTCCGTTGTCGTCGTCGTCGTCGTCGTCGTCGTCGTCGTCGTCGTTGTCGTTGTCGTTTTCGTCGTCGTCATCGTCGTCGTCGTTGTCATTGGTGTTTGTCGTCGTCGTTCGTCGTCGGGAGTCATTGTCGGTCGTCGTCGTCGGCTGTAGCCGTCTTTCGTCGTCACTGTCGTCTTTTGTCATTGTACTCCTTCTTCTCCCCCTTGTCTTCCTCCTCTCTCCCTCGTCGGGCCCATGTCGGGCCCATGTCGCGCTTCTCTGGGGCCGCGCATCTTGCACATCTTGCACATCTCTCCCTAGTCCTCGTCCTCGTCGTCGTCAGGTTCTGGGGGATTCAAGCGGGCTTTGGCGAATCTTTGGAATGTTGTAGGGGTCCTGGGCAGTTCTAGAACTGAGAAGTGATAGTTTCAAAGGGGTGGCCATGGAGCTCAGGAGTAGGGGAGGATGATGGGGGCATACAGTCGGACCGATGAATAACACCGAGGTCGCACCGGGGAGTGTATCCTAGTGTTCTTTGTGTTTGTTGGATGTTCTGGTGCATCATGGGGAGGGCACCCTTTGATGCTCTGTGCGTTTAGGCCGACGGGGGTCTCATTTTCTGGAGGGACGTTCTTCTGGCCTAGGTTCATCCTCGTTGCTCCTCCTCCTCCTCCTCCTCCTCCTCCTCCTACTCCTACTCCTACTCCTACTCCTACTCCTTCTTTTGTTCCTCCTCCTCCTCCTCCTCCTCCTCTTGCTGCTCTCTTTCTGGGGTCTAGGTGCCCCAGGGCTCTCTCGGGGTCCCTCTTGGGGCCACCTCCACAATCAGAACGGAACACGTCCCTACCCGCGCGTCCACATCAGCGCCGTAAACAAGGGATCGAACCAATACATCATATGGTCGCTATCTTATTCAGTGTTGTGCCGATCGGCGCGGGCCCTCGCACCCCCTTCCCACATGGAGTAGCTCTTGGCTGTTTTTGGCGCCTGTCTCAAGCGGGTGGAGTCTCCCCCATAGGACGCATTGGTGTAAATAGTCGCATTAAGCAGCGTTCACGTAAATACAACACTTGTGATCCCCGCAGCATCTTCGCGAGCTCCTGGGGAGCCTCTCAGCAGCTTGTTGTAGCATCCCTGGAGCTGACATGGGCAATCTCTGTTCGCCTTGGAGGTCCGCTCGGCAATCTCTGGCTTCTCGGCCCTCTTTGTAGAGTCCGTTGTGTTGCCTTGGATAATCTGGGGCTATTCTGGCGCCATTTTGAAGCCTCTTCTGATCATGCTCGAGTGATCGCGACGCCTGACAGCTCTTGACCCGCGCTCTTGGGCCGCTCTGGAGCCCTCTCTGGGCTCTCTCGGGGTCCTCTCGGGACCACCTCTGGGCCCGAGAAGCCCATCTGAGCCCGCAGGGACTAAAACACCCGAAGTATGAAGCCACCGCAGGTGGCAAGAAAATAAGGGAGCGGACACTGACATAATCATACACACTCGGAGGTCCGCGCGGGTTTCTCGGATCGGCGCTGGGGCCCCCTGGCGGCGCCTCCGTCGCCGCCACTGGCGCGCTCCGCGCGCCAGGGAGGGGGGACAGCGCGGATCCAAGGAATTCGCGCGGACCGCAGAGTTTTTATGTTTATGTAATTTGTCGTTCCCCTAGAAAAAAGCTAGGCTTGAAGTCTGAAGCTTCGGAGGCGTACCTCATTCCATCGTTCACGCAAGCTTAGACATCTGGCAAAACTCGTGGATACTGCTCAGAGGGCCTGTATGCCCAGTGTGCTCTCGGCAGGCTTCTTGGGACTCGGTGTTCTCGGGGTCCATCCTTGTGGGTCCAAGCAATTCATGGCCTCAGCTGCGTCATGTTCAAGGTTTCAGAGTTCTTGAACCTTTTGCTAAGCGACTTGAAGCTTCTGAGTGAGTATCATTCGGTGTTGGCTCTCTATGGCACCAATTTGCTGAATCGTTGACCATAGTAGATGCTTCGACAATTGTGCTGAACAGAATTCGCGAAGGAGTTGGTCGATTTTGGTATCGGTTTCAGTCTATATTCGATCGGATGCTTGAGGCTGAGCGTCGGCATCAAGTATGGGGTCCTGCTGCTCTTGTTCGTTTGACAATGCTTAGGCTCGGTGTGGCCCCTCACGAAGTGGATGTCTGGCAGGCTCCTGGAGTTGCCCCCTCAGAATGATCGATGCAGATTTTCGCTTTCATCTTGTCTCCCGAGTTCGCGCGACGTGTTTGACCCAAGCGTGGAGTGAAACAGCTGAACACCTAATGTGCATTTTGAGGCGAACACGGCGCTGGTTTCTCTCCTTGTGTAGGCTACATTCTGATCAGTTGAAGGCATGCGATGTTCAACTTGGCTCGTTCTTGGTCGCCATCGTGATACTGGCCAGAGGGCAATCTTAGATATTTTCTGGAATGCTTCACATCGGACGAGTTCTCGATGTGATGCTGATATTTCGATTGTGTGCCATAGGCACTTGTCGTGTCATATCCTTGACCAGACGCAATACAATGCAGGTTCTGCGACTGCCGCTGCCGATCCAAGCGTGCCCCTTGGGCTTGGGGTCTCCCGAGCTCAAGCTGTGCTACTGGATTGGTTCCGCCGCCCGTGTCGAATTTGCGCTTTGCATCGTTCGATGAACACGTCAAGTAACCGACAGGGGCTCCTGGGGCGAGGATGGTTCCAGAGGAGCTCATTCTGAAGGAGGATGATCGTTTGCGCCGCTGCGGTTGGGCGATCATAGCTCCGAGCTTCAAGATAAGCCTCAGTGGGGCGCCAAACCCGCCCACGGCGTCGCCGTCGTCGTCGTCGTCGTCCTCGTCGTGGTCGTGGTGGTGGTCGTCGTCGTCGTCGTCGTCGTCGCCGTCGCCGTCGTCGTCGTCATGGTCGCCGTCGTCGTCGTCGTCGTTTTTTTTTGGCGCAAGCGGTTCCGGATTTTTTCAAACAGGACCCCGGAAATTAAACAAAAACAGTTTTGAGGGGTGGATTGCGCCCGACGCGCAGGACATCTGAAGAACTCTGAAATCCGGAATTTTTCAAAATGGATTCCGTATTTTTTCAAAATGCATCCCGGGAGTTTTCAAAAACGATTCTGGTATTTTTCAAAAAGTAGGCCGGACACGTTCAAACACGTTTCCGGTTTTGATCAATTTTTACTCCCGGAGAATTTTCCAGGGTCGCTCGTGATTTGCCTTTCCGGGTCTTTGAAATGCGCCGAGGCGCGCGGTGCGCGGCGGCGGGCGATGGGACGGCGCGCCACCGTCCCCCCCGCGCTCGGCAACGAGAAAGGGGGTCAGCAAGTGCCAAATAGCCCCTTACGGGCGACCGCTCGATTGCGAATGCGTGACCGACCAGCGGCGCCAGCCAGAGTAGACAATACTCGACGTAAAGTGTACCCCGCGCGAAGGCTGTTAGAAATCCCAGAATCTCTGGAACGTATCAATAGCACGTTGTGTCGATAGATTCTTCTCGTCCTATAGCTACAGGAGGATCACGCGCAGCTTCGCCTCGCCCGCACGCGCGACACGAACACGAAACCGAAACCGATTTCCCGGTGGTGGTCTCCGTTTCACTACGATCTCATCCCCAAGCTTCCGACGATCGAAGACGAAGAGGGCGGGTATCGAGGGTTTGGGAAGTACACGCTGAATGACACTCGAGCAGATAAGAGCTTAAAATGATGGTTGCTGTTGTTGTCGCCGTAGCTGTGGTCGCATTTCGGACGTGAGTATTGGGAGTTCAAATTCAGCATCTGCGCTGGTTTATCTGTGGTCGAAACTTGCCCAAGTCAGCACAGTCCCGTTAAATCCTGCTTGGTCCCTGTGAGTATTGTTGAATTTGGCTTCATCCCAAGCTTATCCAGCCTGATTTGGCCCAGCGGCTCTTGAATCGAGCTCGAAGATAACTTCCAATGGTTCTCGCGAAGACCTCCCAGGGTTTCCGTCCGAAGTTGTCGTCGTCGACGACGGCGTCGTTGTCCTCGTGGCCGCCTCGCCGAGGTCGTGCACTACCTCCAGCGACAGGCCAGCCGTACGGGCAGCCGCGTGCTCTCGCTGCTGGCCGTGCGCGTGCGCGAGGACCCGTTCGGCAAGGTGAAGAAACTCATCAAGGCGTCTCCCCCCGACCTCGTGGAGGGATAGTTGGGGAACGGACAGTGACATAAACATAACATCTCGGAGGTCCGCGCGGATTTCTCGGATCGGCGTTGGGGCCCCTTGGCGGCGCCTCTGGCGCCGTCCCTGGCGCGCGGAGCTCGCCAGGTCGGGGGTCCAGCACGGATCCAAGAAATCCGCGCGGACCTATGAGTTTTTCTGTTTATGCAATTTTTCGTTCCCCCAGAGAGGGGGGGAGGAGGACGGGGAGGAGGATGACAGGGGTGGAGGGCGGAGGGGTCGCCGCGGAGTGCACGGAGCTTAAAGGGCCGCGACGGGCGCGCGCGAACAGACTGGCGCCCGCCGCTTGCAGGCGTAAGTAGGGGGACCAGGAAGATGATTTGGAGGAGGATGGGGAGGACGATGGTGGAGGTGGGGGAGGAGGACGGAGGGGGAGAAGGAGCAAGACGACGAGAGATGAGGAGGACAGAAGGGTCGGATGAGGATCAGGATGCCGATGTGGGTAGTTCCGACGATATGATGGCGGGGGTGATGATGCTGATGCTGATGCTGATGCTGATGCTGATGCTGATGCTGCTGATGATGATGATGCTGATGCTGATGCTGATGCTGATGCTGATGCTGATGCTGCTGATGATGATGATGATGGTGGTGGTTTTGGTGATGATGATGATGATGATGATGATGATGATGATGATGATGATGATGATGATGATGATGATGATGATGATGATGATGATGATGATGATGATGATGATGATGATGATGATGATGATGATGATGATGATGATGATGATGATGATGATGATGATGATGATGATGATGATGATGCTGCTGATGATGATGATGATGATGATGATGATGATGATGGTGATGCTGATGGTGATGATTACGTCTAGTGTGTTGGTGGCGGTGATGGCGATGCTTGTTACTAGGTAGGATTACGTCACATCCGCCGAACCCTGATATTCTAGTTCACGTCTTGGCTTGTCAGTTTGGATGGCGAGGGCGGTCCCTTGTGGGAGCTTTGGGGGCCTCCTGGCGGCTTCTTGAGGTGCTCGTGAAGGAGTGTTGGGAAACTCTTTGGAGCATGCGTTGGTGCGCAACAGAATATCTGTTCGCTTTCGCACACCTGGCGCGCGGGGCTCTGCGGAGTTCCTGGAGGCCTCGCGCAGCGCTTCTGTGATTTCTCTCTGCGTTGCTGGGACGTCCTTCAGGCCTCTACGGAGACCCTATGACCCTGTCGGTGACGTCCACCAGGCTCGCTGGGACCTCACAGGGTCGTCCTGAGGCAACGTTACCGCTATCGTGAGATCGTACCGGGGCTATCCTCGAGCCATTTTGAGGCTTGGTGCGCAGCGACCTGCGCTTCTTCCGGGGGCCCATTTCGGGTTCGCAGACTGCGGGGCGGCGCTCGCGCGGGGCGGACGTGACACACCCGCTTGGAGCGACTTGCTAGTTCAAGAATCCGAAGGGGCTTCTTTTTGCCTAACTTGACCTCGTCCTGCAGGCATCTTGGACTCCATCTTCGCGCACTCATGGGCCGATCTTGGGAGCCCGGGCCGTCTGGCAGCGTGGAGGCGGCGAAAAAGAAGCGAGAACACCAGAATTATTGAACAACCAATTCAACTCAACGAATGTACCTGTTGAGGCTGGTCGGTTGCCACCAACGCCGTCATCCAAGTTACAAGTTGGGCTTCAAATCCGGCCTCGAAGGAGACACTCTTCGCACCATTGGGCAGAATATCAATGTCCTCAGCCACATCGAGAAACAGCTTGGTGTTCGATTTGCCCCCCTCCCCAGTAGAGCAGTCTCACACCGCTGTTTCCACATCGTATGGTTGTCCGATTCCTCGTGCTGAAAACTCATTTCTCATAAGTTTGTGGCAACATCGACCTGACAGTTAAGCACTTGAAATATTGTCTCCCACCCGTACCACAGGAACCACCACGTGATCGTTTTTCTATTCATTGTTTTGCCGAGCGGCGCGGGCCCCCCCCTCCCCCCCATCATGGAGCAGATCTTGGCTGTTTTTGGCGCCTGTTTCGAGCAGATAGAGCCTCCCACATGACTGACGCACTGCTGCAAACAGTGCGACTAAGCAGAGGTCCAGAGCCAGACCTCCCTCCCTCCGCCCCTTCCTCCCAATGTCGAAACGCCGAAGAAAAAAACGCTCACCACAGCTTGTAGCAAACATGCTGCAGGACTTGAATCCAGGATGGGATGCCTTGCTTCCTTCTGTACTGAAAGGGTGTTGTCTGTCCCGAGTAGCCCTGTTCCAGGAGCCGCCGACAATGCTGGTTCTCGGTAGGGGCCCAACACTTCTGGACCAGGGACCTCCTTCAATCCCCACACGAGCCAGTCCAAGCCGCTTGATATGCTGGAGGTTGGGTTTAGCTTGGCCAGAAGAAGCTGACATAGGGGCAGCTGTGCAAAAGAGGGGGCTTCAGATGCACTCTCGATCAATCTGGTGAATTGGGCGCGGGGCTGCTCGAGGGGCTGGCTTCTGCTTGAGCGACAGCTTCTTGGGCGTTGCCTGTGCCATTCGTGACGCCACCTTGCCCTCATCTGGCTTCTGCCCGAGAGTATCCTAGGGCGTGCGGATTTGGGCACCGTGTTCTTTCAGGGTGTCGTGTTTGTCGGATGTATCTAAGAATTGTTTGAGCATCGTAATCAGATCAGTATCGTTTAACCGATCCCTATCCCCTTGCCCCATGCCCATCCCCATCTCGACCCCATCATTCCACCCCCCCAGTTGGGGATGTACCCCTTAAAACCCAAGGGGAACAGCCTGTATCCCCATCTAGGAAGGTACATCGGCCAGTGGGTCCAGGCCACACCAGTGGGGATTGGGATCGGTTAGACGATGCTCATCATAGGACCGTATTACATTGCCAGCATTTTTGTGCCTGATCTAGCTGAGCTCTGACCACCGCACCCCGCTGGGGCCTTAGGTTGTGGGACAACAGTTCCTCGCCACGGTGGTTCGTCTCCGGTCTAGGCTGGACCCTTGGGTTCTTTTTTGTACCATGTGGCAACTGTCAGTGCTGACCGCACTGCCAACACCACTCTTTGTTGAGGCTATCCTTCACTCCACATAGGCAGGGCCAGAAATAATCACTGACAGCAGGAGCAGGAGCATGTAGCATGTGCCACTACCTTTTTTTCATCCCTTTTTCCCATCGATGAATGATGCCTGCCCAAGAGGAGGCGGGCCCTGTGGACTGCCAGTGGAAGCCTGGCTCCGTGTCGATGCTCTCGGAGTCGCCTGTGCCAGTCGGGTTCGCCTGCTCTGCGGCTCTGTGGGGGAATCGCGGCGCCTGCCGCCGAGGCCGAGGGCCGCGGTGCGGTGCGGGGTGGCGCGCGCGTGGGGCCCTGCCCGAAAGTTCCCTCGAGGATGGGGAAGCCCTCGGAGCCAGGCCTCTCCCGCCATTCCTCCTCCTCCTCCTTCTCCTCCTCCTCCTCCTCCTCCTCCTCCTCCTCCTCCTCCCCCCTCCCTCCCTCCCCTCTCCTCCTCTCTCCTCCTCCTCCTCCTCCCCCTCCTCCTCCTCCTCCTCCTCCTCCTCCTCCTCCTCCTCCTCCTCCTCCTCCTCCTTCGCCTCCTTCGCCTCCGCCGTTCGCTCACTGACGATTCGTGACCCCTCCTGGCCTCGAGATCTGGCCGGGAAGGTGTGCCAGAGCTTGGACCCGTCCTTGCGAGGCCTGGCGCTACAGTAAGGATGAGCGGCTTTCCAAGCTTACCCTCTCATCCTTCCCCTTCGGCCTCCTTGGCCACTTTCGCTGGCCGCGCCCCGCTCGCAAAGTGTCGGCATCGCCGTCCGAGGCCCTTGCATCCTAATCGTGCGTCCTTATGGGGGTTTACTGTGGCATCTCCTCCCGTGCCCAAGCTTGGGCTGCGCGTCCTCGACAGGAGAAAACACGAGGGGAATGACCTCTGGGACGAGGGGTCAATTTGTTTTTCTGTTGCTGGTGCTGATGCATATTGAATGCGACGACTTCGTTGGTTGGTGCGGAGCTCCTGCTCCCGGGGAGGGTGGGCCTCCAGGGGTTCCTGGTCTTGATCCAGAGCCCACTGTGGGGGCCCAGAGAGTGTCGAAAGGCGTCCACACCGTTCGAGCCTAGAGCCGAGGCGGTGTCGTCGTCATCGCGTCCGCGCGCGCACGAGGACCTCATCGTGCGCCTGATGGAGGAGGCCACGGCCGAGGCGGAGCACAAAGGCTGGTGCGATACCGAGCTGGCCACCAACGAGCACACGCGCAAGGACCGCGGCGTTGTCATCGCCGCCGTGGCTGCCGTCGCCGTCGTGGTCGTGGTCGGAGTTCCAAGGCCATGTGTGGCGTGTGTCGCCCCTTTGGGCCTCCAGGAGGCTTCGCGTCGGCACGGCTGGGTTTTCCCTTCGAGGTCTTGGCTAAGGCGCAGGCCATGAGATTGGCGTCGTCCCTTCTCCCTCCCCCGTCCCTGCGCCCTCCCTCCTCCTTGATCCTGTCTGATTGTTCCTCCTCTGTTTTTTGTGCTTCTTTTCTGCTTCCTTCTTCCTCCGACCTCCTCCTGCACATGCGGCCCAAGGCGTGCCCACAGCCATTTCTGTTGCCTCCAGCCGACCGTGCAAGTCGCCTCCTGCGCCTCCCCGCGACGCTCGGGGGACACCTCAGATATGCACTCGGTGTGGTTTTCGCTAATCAGCGGTGTGCAGTGCCCGTGTTGGCTAAGACAGGGAGCATCACAGTGAGTTGCTTGGCTACGGGAAGCGCACCAGTTGTGTGGAGCGCGCAGGATCTGGAACGAGGAGCCGCGCAGGAGCCAGAGCATCGGCCGACAGAGTCATCCTAAAGTGGAAGAATTAGCCCTCGAAGACGTCAAGGAGGAACTGCAGCGTGCTCGAGCGCGACCAGCACTGTCTGCAGGCCGACGCGCAGACGTCCGCGCCGAGCCTGCATCAACTTGGCTCTGGGCACCGGGAGCTGCTGCTCACCGCATGGCGGAGTCTCCGAGGGAGACGGGAGCGCGGTGCACATGTGGTGCTGCAGCCTTCTCGTTTGGTTGCGGGCCGGCCAAGGAGATGCCCCACGGGCACACCACGCGGAGGGCAGGTCCCGTTTCCGGGAGCGGAGGACCGAGTTCGCGGAGGCCCAGCAGCCGACCGAGTCGCGGACGGCTGTCCTCGCCCAGGGCCAGGGCCAGCAGTGTCCCGCTGGAGGGTCACCACCCCCATTCCCAGCGGACGGCTCTGAGGGGGTGGCCGCTGTTCTTCCTTCCGCATCTCACCGAGGGCTCTTTCAGTCTGGAGCGGGACCATGCAGCCGCTTTGCGACAGGAGCGGACGTCGGCCACTCGGGCAGCGGCCGCGCCGAGGTACCTCTCCCTTCGGGCTCGGGGTCCGCAGTACCGGCGGGGTCGCCAGTCGAATGGGCGGGCATCGGCACGGCAGCAGGTCAAACCCCGGCCGCCACACGAGACGTGAAACAGAGGACTGCAAGCAGATGCGACACATGTCCTGTCTCGGCATCGCTCGGATGTGTGCATTTTTTCTTGGCGAGGACCATCGAGGAGCATCTTGGATCATCGTGCGAACAACGGGACAATGGGGCAATCGAGGTCTAGCATCCGCAGAAACGGACCCTTGCCGCTGAGAAAGAGGAGGCCATGCCTCAAGGCAGCGCTGGACGGCCATCGCCGCCCTTTAAAGGCGCACACGGGTGCGCGCGAACCGCACCGACAACTCGGCTAGAGCAGACGCACGAATCCGAAACATGCACGGATAATGGACGTCTGAGCGATGGCGAGTTGTCTTGCCCGAAAAGGAGGTGCTGGTGCGGCAATGCCAACTTCATGGTCTTCCTGATGCAGCGCATGTCGAATGGAGGTGTTGAAACGGTTTTGTCAGACTTAGTGGGCTTCCATGCCGATGCAGTTCACATACAATTCATGTGGTTCCTGTTGTGGCGACAACGGGTTGCCTGCGTGATCTAGAGCGCCACCCCGGGCTCGGGCCCATTTCGCGATCATTATTTTGCACAAGTGGAGTCGCTGTTAACCTCAGTTTCCGTTAATGACCTTTGCATGCCACGTTCGTCGCGGTTAGTCATGGTTTCCGTCGAGTTCAATGGGAGCAAGTTGGAATCATATGAATTGTTCATCGATTCCCTCACTCGCTCATTCATTTGTCCTTTTCCCTCACTTCTCTCCGTCTTTCTTTCTCGTTCACCCCGCCGTCCACCCTCTTCTTCCCCATGCTCGTCCTGTTGATCCTCCCTCTCCCCCCTTCTCCCCTTCCCGTCGTCCTACGGGACTGTCCCTCCGGATAATCAAGGGCGATAGGTGGTGATGATGATGGTGATGATGAGGAGGAGGAGGAATAGTAAGGAGGAAGAGAAAGATGAGGATTTTGCGCAAGTTTATGTGTGTGCGTGTGTGTACGTGCGTGCGTGCGTGCGTGCGTGCGTGTGCGTGTGCGTGTGCGTGTGTGTGTGTGTGTGTGTGTGTGTGTGTGTGCGTGTGCGTGTGCGTGTGAGTGTGCGTCTGTGTGTTGTTTTTGTGTGTGTGTGTGCGTGCGTGCGTGCGTGTCTGTCTGTCTGTCTGTCTGTCTGTCTGTCTGTCTGTGTGTATCTATGTATGCGTGTGTATGTGTGTATGTGTGTGTGTGTGTCAGTGAGTTTGTGTCTGTGTGTGTGTGTGTGTTTGTGTGTGTGTGTGTTTGTGTGTGTGTGTGTGTGTGTGTGGAGGAGCATTTTCTGGAGAAAGCACGTGCGTCTTGATCGTCTGTGGGCACCGAGCACACACAGGTGGCCTTGATCGAAGCCGGATGGCCGATTGACCGCGCGCCGCCTTCTTCAGCGCCTGCCGGGAGAGGGGCGAAGGTAAGGGCACGGTCGCCGGTCGGAGCATACCAGCGCAGTCCGGAGCCTCCATACCCCAGGGGTGCCTTGCCAAAGGCGCGCCAAAAGGCATTTTCTCCCCTTGAGCTCCGTATTCGAGCGTGTTCCCGCCACCGAACTCAACGGCCTCCAGCTTGCCTTCAACGGTATCGAAGCGATGTGCCCTCGCCTGGTCGACAAGGGTCTCATCAGCGTGTCCACCATTGACGGTAGCCAAGGCGACGGGGCCAATCTGGTGATCTTTTGCACCGCCTGCGCGAACTCTGCTCGCATCGATGTGGCCTTGCCCCCGCCTTCGGGTGAGGAATATCGCCATTCTACAGGCAGCCCGGCTCATCCACCCAGACGCCGCGCGCGGAAGTGCAGACAATACGATCGTGCACGTCATAGTGGCGTTGCCCGCTTAGTCTCTCCTGTGGTCGAGGAGCGCTGGAGGATTGGGGCGGCGGAGAGCATGCCGCCCTCGCTCCGCAAGCCTGGGAAGGGCATGGGTCCGCCCCCCAACCCGAGGGCATGGCCCGCAGCAAGCTGTTAGGATTTCCGCACCTCCGTCTGACGCGATTCCATCCCACAATCTGAGCTCCCCCCGGGCGTCCAATGGGGCGGTGAGAATATGGGGATCCCCAATCTGAGAATATGTAAGATGGGGATCCCCAACATCAAGATGGGGATCGCAGTTGCCCATGCGATATTTTTCTTTGCCTGGGGGATCGGAAGTCCTGGGAAGCGTGTCGCCTCGACCCTGCTGGTCAGCCACCTGCGCCGGCAGAGCCCCCAAGCCCCCCCCAGTTCCCACAAGGGACCTGATGCATGGGATCTATACCGCAGTAAGCACGCCCTCCGAGCGTCAGTGTCGGGACGAGATCCTGCTTGGCCCGCAGGACGTCCTGCTCGGCTACCTGGGCTCTAGGGGGATCACGTCGCTCCAGCACCAGCTGGTGCGGGAGCGCCGGGCGACGGCGGCGAGGAAGAGGCTGTGGCCCTCACGGATGCTGCCCCTGAAGCTCCCCCGCGGGCGGTAGCCGGCGGCCCCCCGGGCTCAGAATCCAAAGAAGAGCCCAGGGTTTGCCGGCCCAGCAGCATTGCCCTGCGCACCGAGCAGCATGGGTTGCCGCCCCCCCCGGCACCGCCGCGGCCAAGTCCCGACTGGCTTGCCGTCAGCCCATCTCCCTTTTCCTCGGGGCCCAGGTCGGCGGCTGCTGGCGCTAGCGGCGGGGGTGCGCGCCCGGCCAGGCCGCCAGAAGACCCCCTTGAGACGGGGCTCGACCAGGGCGATGGCAGTTCCAGCCCCCCCCAAGCGTCTCGCGGGCGCCCCGGCGCATCGGCCTGCGATTGGAGTGAGGAGCGACCTCCCCCCAACAGCCCAGCCAGCAGCCATTCCGAGAGGCGACTCAGCCCCAGCAGTTCCCCTCAGCCGCCTGCCAGCGTGGTCCCTTCTTCCAGCGCCAACCGCGCGCAGGCGCCGCCGGCGGAGCAGTCCGGCGCTGGCGCCCTGCGAGCAGCCGCGGAAGAGCCGGTTTGCAAAACCACCAGGACTAATGTGCAACGCAGCCCAGTCGTTTCTCAAAGGTGGCCCAGGTGGGACATTGCGGAGCGAATTCCGCCCTGGCGGCAGGAGCCAACTCCTCGCCAACCGCCCCCCGACCCGATGCCTCCGGCCCTGTCCGGCGCCGCCCCATGTTGGCGATCGGCTGGGACGCCATTTGAGAGCGCGAGTGGGGAACGCGCTACGCCGAGGGCCCCAAGCGGCAGCGCGCTGACTTCTGCCAGGTCTGTGTGTGTGTGTGTGGGCTCAGCAAGGCCAACTACGATGTCCGTGGCCTGTGCTGGCATGAGGGCATCCGTGTCGACTGGGGCACTGAGTGGCATCGGGAACTTCACAAGAGGAGACAAAGCGCTGAGCTTGCCAAAGGCAAAGGGAAGGGGCCCCCGCCGCAGGTGAGATACAAGCGGCTGCAGACCCCTCCTGGTCCAGCAACGATCCTGCTCGCCAGCGCTGGTCAGCCTCCAGCAGCCAAAGCTGGCAGCTTACTCGCAGCTGCCTCGCCACCGCGACCTGCTCTGAGAGTGGCGTTCATGGACTTCGGGCTGTGGCCTCCCTTGTCACCTGCCCTCCCACCGCCCCTGCCTTCGCGGCACTTTTTTCACAGCCCGCGGCCCCCCGCGGGCCTCCAGCTTCCCCTCGGGGCCTGTTTCCTCCCGCCGCCGTCGCTCCATGCCCGGCGGCCGCCTTCTCTGCGGTGCTCACCTGCGCGCTGCGCCGCTCCGCCGTCCGTCAATGCAGCTCCGCGGAGGCCCCCTCGCAGTCCCTCGAGGTGGTTCCCTGGCGGCTCTGTCGCCGCCCTGGGCAGCGCCCCTCCCCGGGGGTGGCTGCGCCGCGCCTCGGTGGGCTGGT